ACCTGCAGAAATCTTGTCACTGTAGGCTTTATTCTTGGATCTTCTTCATATATGCCACTCATGAAAGCTTATCACCACAGCCCAAAGGTCTCTTCCCAAGGAACTCAAATGATATTTTCATTTGGCACTTTGAGGGGACTTTTCCGCTACAGCTTTAATATTTTACATATTTGAGATAATAACATTAATTGAGTTTTCAATTGTTTCCCTGTATAGATTAGCTACATTAACCATGGAATAGTACTCCAGTGATTTATTTTCCCATCTTGACTGCTATTGGGAAAAAAGATATGTTGTCAATATGTGCAGATAAGTGAGAGGACCATCTCATAAAGGGAGGTATTTGGTTAGTCATTGCTAATCTAAAATACCGCTGGTTAAATTTACGCATCTAGTTCTTCTAGAAATGACATATAAAACGTTGCATATTTGTAGTAAAGTTTTTACATTCTTTTTTGAGTTGTGCATTTGTTCTCCTATGCTGGAGTTTTTCTTTTTCCACTCATCTGAGGGGTGTAATAGGGGGAAGGAACCTAAGGTTTTATTGTACGGTGCTCTCTCTGCCGGGAGTTGAGTTTTATGGTTGGAACTGAAGTTAATGCCAGGATCTTTGGTTGATCCATCCAACTCCAAAATCCTTATGATATTGACAAAATGGTGTACTTGAGAGATATATGCATATCTAAGTTTCAAAAAGAATTTTAGGCCTCTTTTTGATATCTACCCTATGGTTGGAACATGGTGTCAAGATCTCAAGTTTCCCCATCCTAAGTCATTGTTATATTTGGTATAGGATGTTGCTTTTGGCCTTTTTAATGGGTATAAAAGGCATATCAATTCTTCAGTAATATGCCTGTATCTAGTTAAAAAGGAATTTTCCTTTTATGTTGATCTCTCCCCTATATCCTTCCTTATTTATGTTCTTTATTTTTGGTTTCTATTTGGTTTCAAAGTTTAGTTAGGATTACTTATTACTATAGTTATATTTTGGATTATTTCTTTTCCTGGAACATTTCTGATGAGGACAGTCGCAGGTGGATGGTTCTTTTCATTCACCAGAGTGGCATGCTGCTCGTTTGGCAAGCCTTAAAACTTCGCACACAGTTACCTGGGAAGAATTCAAAAAGAAACAAAAGGTAAGTCAGTAGTATAGCCTCACATTCAGACATTCTTATTTTGAAAATGAGCTTGACACTCACAACTGAGACACATGCAATTTTATCTGATTTTATGAACATATAGATAACAATAAACGTGTGTTAATGGTCGTTTCTAAGATAAAAAGTATTTCAAAGTCATTTCTGAACTAACATTTGGTTTGTGGCTTTTACAGCTTGCAT